TTTGAGATGTTTATTTGCTTTATTATTATTATGATTTTTTGGCACACTGTGAATGAATTATCTGTACTGCAATTAAATAGACACACATATAGATTTTATTCTGATTTATTACTTATTTGTATAGGTTAAGTATTCAAGTTGAATCTAAGATGTTTATTTGAGATGTTTAAGTATATTGAGATGTTTATTTGCTTTATTATTATTATGTTTTTTTGGCACACTGTGAATGAATTATCTATACTGCAATTCAATATACACATATATATATTTTATTCTGATTTATTATTTATTTGTATAGGTTAATTATTCAAGTTGAATCTAATGTAACAATTTCTTTTCCTGGTAGATGACAATTGCAGAAGATACTAATGTTCCAAGGCCTGAAGTTACTACCGCTGGCACTAATGATGATGATTTTAACACGCAGGTATGTCCTAGAAAAAAAACGTTTCATATATGATATTTGGGACCATTTCACAAAAGAGATAGGCCCTAAATGTACTAAGTCGAAATGTAATGTGAAATGCAACTATTGTAGTGCATCTTATTCATGGTATAGTGGAAATGGGACAAGCACATTGAGAAACCACATAAGTAGATGCCAACAATATCTATTTAATGTTGACAAGAAACAAAATTCATTTCATTTCAGTCGACTACAGAAGGAAAGGGTGTTATGGTTTCTTGGAAATTTGATCAGGAGTTGTGTGGACAAGCACTTACTAAAATGATAATCATTGACGAATTCCCTTTCAAGTTTGTTGAGCGTGAAGGTTTTTGTTATTTTCTTTGTGCATTGCAACCAAAATTCAAATTGTTGTCACGTTTTACTGTGGTTAGGGACTGTTTGGCATTGTATGGTATTGAAAAGAAAAAGTTGAAAACCTTAGTGAATTAACTCAATCAAAAAATTTGTCTCATCATCGATATATAGACGTCAATTCAAAATCTTTCTTATATGTGTCTTACGGCTCATTTTATTGATAAGAATTAGACCTTACACAAAAGAATTCTGAATTTTTGTATAATGCCTAGTCACAAGGGTAAGAAAATTGGTCGTGCAGTTGAGACTTGTTTGCTTGATTGGGGTATAGACAAATTGTACACACTCACGGTTGATAATGCTAGTTCAAATGATCTTGCGGTTGCATATTTGAAAGAAAATAAGCTTTCTAGGAATGTTGGCTCTTTCCTTTTAGGTGGTGAATGTTTTAATATGAGGTGTTGTGTACATATATTGAATTTGATTGTGAAAGATGGTTTGAGTGAAATAAATGATTCAATAGTTTGAATTCGTGAAGCTGTGAAGTATGTTAGGAGTTCTCCACAACGGGGAGAGCGTTTTTAAGCATGTGTGAAGAGGGAGAATATAACATTTAAGTCACATTTGTGCCTAGATGTTTCAACTAGATGGAATTCCACGTACCTTATGTTAGAGGTGGCCTTAAAGTTTCAAAAAGCTTTTGAAAGGTTGGAAGATGATGATATTCTATTCCTACTAGAAGTTAATAATAAACCTCCTACTGGTAGTGATTGGGAATATGCTCGAGTTTTAATTGTTTTTTGTAAAAAAAAATTTATTAGTCCACTAACAAGTTTTCTGGATTTTTTTATGTTACTTCTAATAGATATTTTCATGAAGTGTTGGGAATTGAAAAGTTGTTACATGCGTGGTCAAAGAGTCCTGATATTTGGTTAAGTAATTTGGCATCAAAAATGAAAATTAAATTTGAAAAATATTAGGGAAGCATTGAAAAAGTGAACATGTTGGTGGTGCTTGTGGTTGTGTTGGATCCTCGTTATAAATTGAAATTTGTGAAATTTTGCTATTCCGAACTTTATTCTCTTGAAATGGTTCATAACCTTAGTAAAAAGGTAATGGATACATTGAATCACATTTTTAGTGAATACACAAAGTTTCATGCATTTACTTCAAGCTCTTGTGGAACAAGTAAAATTGCAAATGAGGTGAGAGTTGATAATGCAAATATGGAAGATGATTTTTCCTCTTTGTACATAAAACGCAAGATACAAAAACAAAATTCTACTCTTAAGTCAGAAGTGAAAAAATATTTGGAGGAAGCTTGTAAAGATGTTATTCTAGAATTTGACATCTTGAATTGGTTGAAGGCGAACGATAGTAGGCCAGTATAAAATACTTTCTGAAATTGCAAGAGATATTCTAGTTGTTCCAGTCTCTATTGTTGCTTTCAAGTTCGCTTTTAGCATTGGAAGTCGTGTGCTTGATCAATTCCGTAGTTCTTTAACTCCAAAGCTTGTGGAATGCTTAATTTGTACACAAAATCGGTTACAGGCTTCACCAACACCAATTGATGTTGAAGAAAAGTTTGAGGAACTTGAACAATATGACTCTGGTAAGTATTAACAATTTGTTACATTTTTATTCAATTTATAAATAAATATCATATTGTGGATTTTTAATTAAATTATGTTATTTTGTGTATGTGATTACAGTTTCAGATTCACGTTCAGATGTTAATCTCTTGAGAACTAGCCTGGCCTTGCTTGCTGTCACTTTCAGACTTGATTTGCTGCCATTTTCATACTTGTTTTGTTGCCAATCAAGATTACTATTGTTTGTTGTTTTATTGTGCTATTTTTTTTTTCTATGCTACTGTGCTACTATTCAAGTATTTTGTTTTGTTTTGTTCTAATTGGATAATTTATATTTGGTATTGTAATATTATTTTCACCTTTAGATGATTTACAAATCTTTTTTGTTATTAGGTAATTTAAGTTTGTGGTGATATTATATGGGGTAAATCTATTTTGAGATTTTATTGCTGTTAGCCTATTATTAGGAATACGATTTACAAATCTATTGATGTTATTAGGTATATGATTACAAATCTATTTTATTATTGTTAGCCTGTTATTGTTGTTAATGGGCCATAATCTATTGTTGTTATTGGGCCATAATCTATTGGGCTGTTTGAAAAGCCCAATCCATGGAAACCGATCCGATTTGATCCGTTACTTTCTAGATCGGTTTGGTTCAGGTTGAAAGACCCCATAGATCGATTCAGTTTCAATTTTTACCAATCCGTGGGGGTCGGTTCGGCTTGAACTTTATTCTCAAACCGAATCGATCCGAATCGTGATTAGGCCTAATCTAATGAATCAAACGTGGGCATCATTCAAAGGCAATGCTAGATGAAGTTACTTTTATAATTATCTAATGTTTTGTTTTGATTAGCTATTTCTGTAATTTTAATATTTTGTTTTGGTTATATATTACTAAACTTAATGTTTGTACAACTAAAAGTACATATGACACTTGAAGTAATTTATGTAACGCTTTTATTATATTTAAATTTAGTTAATTTTTAATTAAACTTGATATATTGTATTTGTGCAGCTTTTATTAATTAAGAATACTAGCTAAAATAAATTCACCTCCAACACTTATTTAAAAATAAATAAAAAATTTACATTAATAGTTAATATCATATATTAATGAAATAAAAGAGTGAGATTCAATAATATTTTTATTTATTTTTTTAGTTGACAAAACTATTTTCAATAAATACAATCAAGTAGTTTTATGAGTCTTTGTTTTCTGGAAACTGTTTTATAAATTTTCTTAACCAAACAGGTTTGAAATCTAAAAAAACTGAAAACCGTTTTATGTTTTGATTCTCTAAAAACTGTTCTTGAGAACTGTTTTTATAAATGCAATCCAAGCAAGGCGTATATTTGTTAAATAAAGAGGTGGCTTCATTGCCCATATTTAAAAGAGATGTATTATTGAATAAAAATATATTAATATGGATAATAAAGTTATTTCAACTCTTTATTTAACGTAAAACTAACAAGAGGAAATAAGCTGCAATTTGTTTTTATATATATGGTTGTCAGCTATAAACACAGTTTACAGGGAGTTAGGTGCCACAAAATTATACTATAGGGGACTAAGTGCAATTAAGCCTTTAAATTAATGCTTGTTAATCATTGTTTGCAATTCTCATATAATATTTGTGTCTATTTAAGAATTAGAGGTTGTCACAAGGCTAGAGAGTCACGGGTCAACCACGGGTTTTGGATGAGGCACCTTATTTCAAATGTGCCGAGAAATAATTTTTTGTTTTCCAAACTCGTCCCCTGCATCATAGTTAGCTAGGTTCGTCGCACCTTGGTATACATATTTTTTTAAGAAAAACAATTCAAACATGTACAAATTCAAGATAATTTTTTTTTTTTTTTAAAAAAAAAAAAATTAGTGAAATACTTAACAATCGTAATAACAAAAACGTTGTTAAAATTTAAATTTATCATAAAAACGTGAAGAAAAAAATAAAACTACAGCTAATTAAAGAATCTTTATTTACATATTTATTGTTATTATTAGGACGAGATGAGTTTTAAACTTTCTCTTCAAACTCGCCCCTACATTTATTAAAATGATCCCAAATTCGTTTAATTAGGGACGAAAAGTTAAATTAATTTCTCTAAACATTGTCACTCTTGCACGATGTTATTTTTTGTGATTACACATGATCAAGTGGGGTCCATACTAACACTAATAATATTGTCATTTAAAACCTTTAAACTTTTTATTTTAAAATGTAATCCTCACTAAACATGTATCAAGTTCAACTCTTTTTTAAATCTCATATTGGTTTTGGAGAAAAGTTGGAAAACGAAAAATATTAAAATGTTTACCTCTTGTCCATGAGTAAGACTATAAATAATTGTGTGGTTGGATATTACAAAAGAATTACTAGTTATAAAAAAAAAGGGCAAAATAAATAATTACCAACTCCTTTATTTGTATATTTGCCAAATTTCATAAACCAAATACTCCGTAGGTCCTAGTGTGGTGATACCGGTGAATGTATAAAGTGAAATTTGGGGGTCGAAAAGAAATTATTCAGAATATCATTGCAAAATTAATTGTAATAATTGTATTGTTCAATGGTTAAAATTGTACTGTTCCAATGGTTTAAAAAACGCCGCGTGTCCCCATGTACATGGAATTTGGTGTCTGATTCCAAAACAAACCACTCGAGAGAAATCTGAACTCTTTTTTGGTGGGTAAGTTCTCTCTCTAAAATCCCCTGAGATTCTCTCTCTCTAAACTCCCATCGAATCAAATTCTCTACATCGAATCGAATTCAATCAAATCAACGCTCTCAGCCTCTTTCAATCAAGCACTTGTCGATTTCACCTAGGAGTTCATCTGCAACGAGGCGATGTCGAGTGTGCCTTCATCGGCATCGAGCTCCGTCTCCGTCCCGGGTTCGAACCCTACCGCCGTTTCCTCGCAGTTCACGTACTCTAATGGTTCCTACTTTCCGATGCCGTTCCACCTCCAACAACAACCACCGCCACAAGCGTACGTCGCTGCTCCTCCTGTGCAAATCCCCGCGCCTCCTGTCGTTCCTTCTGTCTATGCGGCAGCTCCGGTCCCCCTGCCCGGTGTTTACTCGCTGCCGCAGTATCAACAGGTGAGATGCCCAAATAGGTTTAATTGAATTCAATTTTTTTTTTTTTTTTTTTTTTTTTGTTGCTGTTTATTTCCTCAAGAATTGGAGTTTTAAATAATTCATAAAATTTTAAATAATTGGCAGAGTGGGGAATTTACTTGGGGCAACCTAATATGATTAAGAAAAAATTGAACAAAGGAATAAATACAAAAATATAAATATTGATTGATAATATTTACATTCAGTTCATTATAATTGTCCTCATCAATGAGTTTTCATGTCTTTTCATGTTGATAACATCATTATGGATGCTATTAAATATGTTCCTAATATATGTAACCAAGCAATCATTCATCCATTGATCTCTCGCTCATTCTTAGTAAAATCAATGTCAATGTCAAAAGCAAGTAAATCTGTTCCCGTCTCAACCATTATTCTTGCAAGATCACCTATATCTTTCTTTTATGAATGGCAACGGGGCAGGTTTGGGCCCCTTCCCTATCTTGTTCCCATTTAACAGAGTACACCTTTGTCCTCCATCGGCATCCCTGTTATTGCACCCACTCACCCTTCCCTCTTCTCCCCTCACCCGCCTTGCCCCTCCCCTTTTAGATTTTCACTAAGATTTTCGTAACTTAGAGGCAAAGAGAGAGCGAGGTCTCGCTACCATTTCAGTGAGACAGAGCGAGTCTAGCTGTTGCTGCTGTATGTTTCGTTTCTAGTCTGTTAGCAATCCCAAATATTGTAATACTAAAAATCACAATTTTGTATGATACTAAAACTGATCTCACTAAACTACGTACTTTGGGACCCTACAGAAGGTAGACAGATATATCAAGATTTGGGTTGATGAGCATCGAATTAGACCAAAATGTTGATGGACCAAAATTTTGGTTGCCATGCATGAGTATATTATTTGTACGTGTGTATAAGAAATAATGTCATTGTTAGTGTAAATTGATATTAAGGACATTATATTATTTGGTGAAAAGGGAAAAAGAAAATGAATTGAGGTATTATAGAAAATGACCTCTTCTAATCTCTATTTTATTATTCTATGGTACTATTTGATAACCTACTAAAAAATGTGCTATTTGATTACTTAATATTGAATAAATTAAATAAGTTTGACCTAAATTGGGATAATTATTAGCTTGGGAGTCTTCACTCACCACTGAATATTAAACACTTATGATTCAAATGAATATCATAGAAGTTTTCAATTAGCACTTAAAATACAACTCTTGAAAATTTCACTGAAAATTTGAGCTCTTAAAATTTCAGCACTTGAAAGTTTAAATGCTTAAATAAATTCAATTTTATCTAACAACACCTAAATCAAAAGTCCTTACCATTCTTAATAGTGGAGAAAAATGAAAAGAGTAAAGATGGGGTTTACTAATTAAATTAGTTTGAACTCATGGAATTCAGAAATAATAATGAGTAAATTATCAATAATTTGTAATATGTGTATCTATAGATCCAACATCATAGTTATTGCAGATTACCATTAAATGCAAGAGATAAAGAAATAGAGGAATGGACGGCATGAAGTAGTAGAGCTATTCCATTACCATTTGACCTATGAGATATCAGTCGAGTAGAACTTATAAAAAAAAAGATATCTCAGTCGAGTAGAATTGACTTTAGTTTTTCATGCTGACATATATGTATTGTGTGCAATAAGTTTGAGGATGGTTGTAGAATAAAATAAAATTATATTAACAAATGACACAATTTTAGTGTAAGTTACCGTATAAGGGTATTAATGAAAAATAGATAAATAGATGTATGTCAAGGGAAAAGTGGAATAGATTGTTATATGGAACATGGTAGGGGTGGTGAAATATGTTCAGGACGATAATGTGTATATAAGTGGTTTTACTCTTCTTATATCATAGTCTTAGTGGTGCAGGACAGGATAGGTTTTATAGATTGAGTTAGAGGATGAACAATGTAATATAATATGTATAATGACTATTTTAATTATTTTAACACAAACTTACCAAAAAAAATGGTGTGCAATAAAGGATGAAAAAAATGGAACTATGTAGGACATAGGTGTGGTAAAATGAGGGGTCATTGATTGATGCAATGGTAAAAACTAAAACTGACATTTTTGAGTGTCCGAGCATTCACTTTGTACAAAATAATAAAATGTCTAGGTCTGTCTCTAAATCCTTTCCCTCACACCACCCCACGCTGCTGGCAGGCACATTGGGTAATGAAATCCGTTGCAGAATAAGTTCAAGGATGAAAATGCGACATATTTAATGACGTTAGTTTAATCATATGATAGCTTTATTAATATAGGACATAATTGGTATTTTGAAATAAATTAGAGGATGAAAATGATATATAGATATGCATAATGGCATTGTTGTAATAATATAATGGCCTCGGGAATGTAAAAATTCTGGAAAAGGAAGCGAGTTAGACAGAAAAAGCAACTTGGACAAAAAAGAAACGAGACAAAAAGAAGCAAAGTTGCTTCGGAAATTCTATTATGTCGTAGAACTTTGTATGTATTTTCCACCAAGGAACTGAATTTTTTTTGTTAAAAATAATTTCAGGTGTAAAAAAATATTACTTTGCCAAAATCAAGACATAGGAAGAAGATAGTTTTGAAATAATGTTGCTCGTTTATACCTTGCACAGGAAAATGGAGGCAATAAGCTCCTTAATGTTTGTGGTAGATATGTATGCATTTTTTTCCTTTGGGAATGTATATTACAATTAAAAGTAACTTTCTTATATAAGAATTTACTTTTTCCTAGGCAAAATCAATTTTTAAACGGGGAATTTTCTTTCATTGCTTTTATGTATATAACTATATATGCATATTGTGTGATGTTTGTAATATTTTTTTTTAACAGGCCCAGCAGCTGTTCCAAAGGGATGCGCAGACAATCACACCTGAAGCTCTTGAGAGTGTAAAAGCTGCCCTAGCAAGCAGTGAAATTGAGCACAAGGCAGAAACGAAAAAGAAAGCAATACCTCGTAAAGCTGCAGGGCAGGCTTGGGAGGATCCAACTCTTGCAGAATGGCCAGAAAGTACGACTCCTTCCCTTCCCCATTCTCTCCGTGTCTATCTATCTCTACTGATTTTTTTGGTTAAATAATTCTAGATCAGTGAGCAACTGGGCATAAATCTGTTGGATCTGTGTGCATAAAATAGTTTGTGTAAGTTGTACATGCTCATACTTTTTAAAAATTAAAGCTTATTCAGCTTGGTAATTATATTGTTAAGGACCTAGCATTATAGGCCAAAGTTGAATGCAAAATTATTCAATCCTATACAAGTTTTTAAAATAATTTTGATGATGTTTAGGATTTAATTTTTTTGACAGTTAGTGTTTTGTATAATGAGGGCAGGGGATTATAAAAGAATATGTTTGAAGTTTCGACCTACGACCTTTCACTTATAAAAATCTAGGTTCAAAATTTGCTATGACTCAATTTAAGGATAATTATTGATTGGTAGAACAGGGTTTTGGATTAGAACTTAGGTTAGGAGTTGTTTCAAGTGACCTAAAGTGCTGTTTTGATTATAACAACAAATCAGTGTGAAATTGCTAGAAGCCTGGAATTTGAGTAAAGACGAAGTGAATGAGAGAAAAGGATGAGAAATAAATAGCAGTAGAGAAGATAAAGAAAACAAGAGTAAAAAACCAGCAATCTCTCAAATAAAGCTTTAGAACTGCACTTCTTAATTGCATATCCATAGGGGTAGCAATTCAACCAGATTGCCGGGACCCTGTCCTGGCCCACCCTTTATGAATTGGTTTGGAGGACAATTAGATGGAGTATTATGTAAAACCATATTTTGGGTGGTGTTGTGAAAGAGTGCCTCTAATAAAGTACTAAAATATCTTATGTGTGCTTCATTATATTAATCATCTATGTTTTTTTTTTTTTTTTAATAGCCATCACTCTTGCCCTCTCCCTCTGTATCAATTTTGCACCCTTGTTTGCCAGGTGTACATTCTCGTTGTTCTGATATTGTTGGCATTTTGCAGATGATTATCGTCTATTTTGTGGCGACCTTGGAAATGAGGTGAATGATGATGTACTGTCAAAAGCATTTTCACGATTTCCTTCATTTAACATGGCAAGGGTAAGTTCCCATTGGAATCACTTTGGTTTGCCTGTTGTTAGCAGTTTCATGATTAATAGTTGTTTGCATGGTCTATTTGACATGTCTTCTTCAGATGTTTATTTGAAGTGCATGGAGCTCTCAAATTTCTCGTACATTATAAGGTAGGATTCTCTACGAAGTGTTCTGACTTTTAAGAATGTGTTAGGTTTGCAAGATGAAAAGCAAAGAAATAGCTAATAATTTTACAACCATTTGTAGTGGCAAATGCAATGAGGCATTGTGAAAATGTCTAGCGGCTTGTTTTGCAGTTTTTTCATGTGCTGGATGTGTTTTGTTGGAATTTGAAGAAGTCAGAGGTGGAGGGACTATGAGAGGACTAATATTGGGTGTGAGGCTGAGGTTTCAACCTTATTTTAGTGATTAAGAGGAGATTTATTGCCTTCCTATGCAAATTTTGGCAAAAGCTTGTAAGAATCGTAAGATGGCATTAACTAATAAATGTTAAGATTTAAAGCTATTTCGGAATGTGGACATGTCAACAAATCATGGCTGTTTCTGGCTTTATTTCCTTGTCACTTTCTAACAATACAGATTTAAGCTCCCGGTAAATGACGTGTGAGGATGAAAGAGTTGAATGGAACATAAGTAAAACAATTATGATTTTTGAAATGTTAATGTGGCGCATTAGGTGATGTAAAATCATTTCTTTGTTTTTCTATGTGGCAGACAAGTCTTACGTGGAGTGGAGTTGAAGTAAAACAGTTATATAGTAAAAAATGTTCAAATACCTTTTGTAGTTGGTGTTAAGTAATTTCTTTTCTAATATGATGGTGTATTAATGTTGTTCTATAGTTGATGCAAGATCATTTGTTTGGTTTTCATGTGGGAGCCACGTCTAACAACAAAAATTACCTGGAGCTCAAATAAAATGACTATTTAATTAAAAATGTTGAAGTACCTTATGTAGTTGGTGTGAAGTCATTTCTTTTCTAATATGATATGATGGTGATCAGTGATTCCAATTGGCGCTAAAGTTTTTTTAGATAAAAGAAAAGGTTTTTAGATGTATTATTATTATATATATATATATATATATATATATATATATATATAATCTTCCTAGAGATTTATTCTTTAGATTTCAAAGATAGTTTTCCAAGTTTGAACTGATTTTGTTATACAAAAAAGATAATGAACAGTAAATAAATAGATGAAGAATTAAGTAGAAATTGGCAATTCTTGGCCTTTCCATGACAAGATTTACACGTTTAGCTAGGCAATCTTTGTTACTACTCTCTCCCCTAGAAACATGGGAGATCTTTGAATACATATTGTAGCGACTATTTACTTCTGGCATCTTCCTTTTTCATTTGTTATCTCCCTTTCATATCCCAGTGTCTTCATTTTTTGGTTTGTGTCTGCTTGTAAGAAAAATAATTGCCTGGACAACATTGTGGTTCTTTGACTGTACTTATTTTATTTTACAAAGCCACGATCCTTACTATTGTCCTGTGTGAATTTGTGTGCATGTGCACTAATTATCACGTTTTTCCCATATACCTTTATTTGCTGTGGTTATCTTCACTATTTGTTGCTTTGTCACTCTCCTCGGCAGTATTTTCTGTAGGGTTTGTATTTCCTTACTATATTTTCAAAATTAATTATAAAAAATGCATGTATGAATTCTTTCATGGATGTAGGTTGTGAGAGATAAGCGCACTGGCAAAACTAAGGGCTATGGATTTGTTAGTTTTGCCAACCTTACAGACCTTGCAGCAGCACTTAAAGAAATGAATGGTAAGTATTGTTTTTACTTATTGTTGTTTTGCCATGATTTTTCTTACAGTCGGTTTCTGCACCATGCACGACCAGCGTGTCAAAAGATTATACCCATGACATTAGGAGTCTATCAAAGCCATATTCAGTTTTTTCAGTGTTTCTGCATACAAATAGTTTAGTATTATCACCCCACTTTCTGGAGTAGTTTCTGTGACTTGTGAGGTGTTGATCACAAACCGAGGAAGCAAGAAAGCATCGCTACATATATACCTAGTTCAGTGATTTGACATTGGTATCAGTTGCAGAAATAAATTGTGCTTCAATGCTGCAGTGCCTGAAATTTGCCAATCAGGAGTGATATTGGCATTAGTTTCAGAAGTAAATTGTGCTTCGAGGTTTCGGTGCCTGAAATTTGTCAATCAGGAGTGCTGGCAGCAAAGACTAGAAAACAATCATTGTAGCATTGTTAATTAGGTGTGCCACATTAAGTAGTTTCTAATGGTATAATTATTTATTTAAAATTCTAAATCAAACATGGATTATAGTTTTATCACTAATCATATGAAGAGAAGTGGAAATAATAGTGAGGCTCCAGAACGATGACTGCAGTTTGGTTTGAAGACCACAAACGATGCTAATTGAAGCATTGGTTGCAGGTAAATATGTTGGAAATCGGCCAATCAAACTACGTAAGAGCAACTGGAGAGAGAGGACAGATTTTGAAGCCTTGGAAAGACAAAAGGTGCATTTCCGTGTTCCTTCAACATACCTTTTAAAGTCATTACTTTGATTTTGCATATGTCCACTTACTTACCATGGCTTTTTGTGCTGACCTTTATGGCAGAACCATACTCAAAAGAAACCAAGGCTTCATAAGAAGAGCGTGTTGCACAAGTGAGGACCCACCTAATGATGGTAGCCAAGTAAACAATACATAAATTTCAAAGCTTTTAGTTATATTTATATTATTGCTTTGTCTTTTCCTTTTTTAATATTCATTGTGTTGATGGAATGGGAACAAAAGCATCTGAACTTAATCCATCACGGTCATTTTGAGTTTTAAGAACACAACTTTTGTGAGCTTCATGCTGTTCTATTTTGTGTTCATTAAGTTGGGGTTTTAATTTTCCTTGAAAAGCGACTTGTTTCTTCCCCCTTTGTGGTTTTTGGGGGCAGATTTTCATCCTCAGAACAGTGTCATTCCAAAACAAAGAAAGTAGTTGTCCCCTAATATGTTAATAACTTATAATAATGAAAAATTTAACGGTCACTGAATTTTTTGGGATGAATATTTTCCGAGTGTTCAGGAATCCAAGATAAGTTGAAATTGACATCCACACACATATCAGGGAGCGGAAAGGTACTATTAAAAACTCTGTACAATAAATCAAATTGATACTTCGCAACTAACATTGGCGGGCCTTGAGCATGGGATTTTGCTTTTAGGTACCATTTTGGTTATGTCATGTGATGGTAGAATCCTCCTCATAATTGAAATCCATTAGATATGGAAAATCTGTTTGCTGATAAAATGTTTAAATCTAGATATATGACATCAAAGTTTAACCAAAGTAGTGCAATTTATAATTTTATCTTCTATGATAAAATTCTAATTTAGTTTCTCTATCCAATGTTCAGAAAAAGAATATCCAAATGTTATTATTTGTTCTTTTTTCTTGTCTTTAACAAGTCTTAGAAGTGATAAAAGGCCATGAAAGGTCGTAGTCAAATGAGGATAATTAGGATATAATAAAACCATGAAAGGTACGTACTCAAAGCCCCTCTAACAGATGATGTGAAATGTGGGATTCTAAATCCCTTTTTGACCTCAAAGCCTTCCTCATGGTCCTCACCTTAGAACAGCTTTCAAGCATTTCATTTGACTGAAACTGTAATAAGTTGGTGGTTTGTTTTGTGCTCTGAATGATTTCTGCTACCCGCATCTTTATTATTTATTTTATGTTCCTTTTTGCCCTTGCACCCATATTTATTCATTGATGTTTTGGTTTCCGATTCACAGGGGTAAAGTTATGAAATCCTTAATGTGCAATGCATATGTGAAACGCTTGTCAGATGAATGGGTACTCCAGTTCTGCTTTCATGGGCATCCACTTATGAGGTCATCTTCAAACGTTTAATATAATGTACTGCGAGATTCATATTTTCAGTTGAATTTGTGTATTGGTAAATACTCTGATTTGCGAGGAAAATTTTACATTGAAGTAGTTTGGACTTTGTTGAAAACTGAATGTTCTTTTAACATACTAGAGTTTGTTGTAGGCATGAATAGACCAGGTATATATTCCTACTTGATGTAAAAATTGACTCTGAATTCATAAATGCACACTACCTCTATTAAGTATTATCCATTGAGAAGGATATGGTTTCAGGAGAGCCCTCTCATACGGGACCCATGAGTTATCATTGTTGACCATTGGATTGAGAGATTTATTAAAAGATTGATTTAACTATTCACAAATATCAAAAGCTGTATCAATCCAGTGGTTTATAAAGAGCTTGTTAGAAGAAGACTCTTGATATGCATATGCAGTCTGATGGCATGGATACATTAGGAGGACTAACATTTTGCGGTGCTTTTTGTGTTTCAAGATAGAGCAATGGAACTCCCTTGTGCGCATGCTGGCGATGCCTGACAATTCCGCATTCCATGTGTTTGGGGTTCTTCAAGTACATTACATCCAACTTTACTAATGTTTGACTAACAACGTTAGATCTGAGGAAGGTGAAATTGTATTTGTTTAGTTTTTTGAGAGCCACAACCTGTCTTTGATGGTGGTGGTATCCAGGACATTGTTCTCTGCATGCTTTATCCTTGGTCCTTGCTCAGGTGTCGTCATGTCGTTCTTAGATGCACTTTTAAGATGGATGGTTCTTGAGAAATCTAAACGTTAAAAATTTGCTGGCACAAATTCAATCCCCAATTTTTTATTTTTATAGTTTCTGGATAGTTTGTAAATTCAATTACTACTTCCAATTTTGTGGATGAGTTGGATTTTTTTTTTTTTTTTTTTCCCTTTTTCTGAGGGGTCTTGGTCCAAAGAGAGAAAATGTCCAGTTATTTTCCCTAATCTTAACCTCACATCTCCCCGCGTTGGCGGCAAGCAATAAATTAATGCTTATTGAGCTTGGTAATTATAATTATAAAGGACCTAGCATTATAGGCCAAGGTTGAATGCAGTATGAGATCATTAATACATGAGATTTTAAATGATTTAATATTTTTTCGACAATTATATAAAAATTTTAGCCCTAATCGAGACCCATTTCATATTGTGTGGTATTTTCATTTTCTTATAGACTCGCCATTTTAAAAAAAAAAATCAAAATGAATAATTGGTCTCTTTTGGGCTAAATTTTTTTATATGTTATGCTACATATGTAAATAAATAATTTTAAAATTTTTCTTACAAATATCCCAAATCATTTATTTTCCAAAAATAAAATAAAATTACTGGAGCAAATTCTTATATTTCCTATTTCTCTCTGGTTATGGTGGCATGTTGTACAAATCTTATATTTCTGGAATCTTAGTTTTATAAGCTTTCTGTGCATTATTATTTGCAATTTTTTTTAAGTACGGTTTGTGAGATATGAAATTTTGAAGTTCGAATGAATTAGATACAAATAAAACAGTAATAAGGACATTTTGGTCCAAACATCCACTCTTTTACCCCCCACACAGACGAAGGGCATTCTTTGGTACAAAATTAAATAAGGGGATTTATTAGAAAATGCGCATAGTCAAGGGGGTTTATTGTACTTTGCCCAATTAAAAATCAAAGAAAAATCTGATTTTACTCAAATAAAAATTATGTTGTATGGTTCAATGAGCAAGCCAAAGAAAGCTTGTTAGATTTAAAAATAAAACTTTTAGAAATAATATTATTATGTGATTAATTGATGACTTTTAAGAGTATGCAATATAGCGTTATATATTTACTATATATATTAGTATATAAATTTATGAAGGCTAAGACTAAAAATAACTAAAAATTTCTCTGCACCGGTAGTGAATTGTATTGCTCAAGAAATAGGAATTTTAGGGAAGAAAGTAAAAAGCCTTTTTGACAAAGATTTATCTGAGGGAGCTATCAATTTTATTTGAAATTGTGGCTTATAATGTTCGTACTGTTTGGTTTATAATATTTATCTTTTTTTGGTGTGAAAAGGAAAAATACTACAATCTGAACTAAAATGATGCTTGAAAACTAAACAACATTGAAAGAATATGAATAAATTGAAATTTAAGAATTCTTAAGGAAGGGCAATTATGGTATTAACAGTGTAAGAACTAAGTATTTTGTAATTTAGGGACTCTTTTGTAATTTTATTTTAAACAAAAGGAGTGGAGCACTTGAGGAGAATGGTGGAGCGCTAATATCAACTCCCTTTATATTATTAGTACTAATTGTTAAAAATTGAAGTAATTTACTTTTGACAAGCAATTTATATGATCCTATTAAAATATTGTAACAAATATAATTCATTGTCACGTCTCATCAAAAAGGGTTGTGCCACGTGAACGATGAGAATGTGTGTAAAATATAGAACACATTTATGAGAGATGACTCTTCGTGACCTCTATTTGATATGTGTAGAGAATATAATTCTAAAATTTTACATAATTATGTAGAGAACTCTTGAGTATTGAGAATTATATGAAATTATAGTATGGTGTAGAATATAGAACATTCTAAACAAGAAGTATTCTTGAGAGTAGATCTTGAACGTTGATTGTAATGCATTCTAGCCCTTAATTAAGGAGGAGATGCTACATGAAGCTGTGGAACCTCATTTCAAAACAAGAAGTGTCTAGGGTGAGTGTATTGCTCCGAAGAGAAGTGTGAGGGCTAGCACATAAGAGTGTATGAAATATATATTCAGTAACGAAACTAATTATAGCAAGATGACGATTTCTTGGGTTGGGTGGATACATATACTTTGGTTTCACGATACAACGTAGCGAATGCTATTCCATTACTTTTCGAAGTCGAACATTCCGAAACTGACTTCTCTTCTGAAGGAGCTTGCCTTAGAGCGACATCATTCTCACCTCCGGAAACAAAACAGGGGAGAAAACCAAGAATAGGGATACTTCGGGAATCGGAGATTGATAGCGATTCGTAGGACGTTTCGATCATGAAAACAGACGATTGAAGAAAAGAGAGTCCATCCATCAACAAGGGTTTATTTTATTACTCATAAATTAAATTTTATGTTAATTTTTTTTTAAAACATTTGCTTCCGGAAGAAATCGAAAAATTTCTTGGGAATCCTACAAGATCCATTCGTTCTTTTCTCTCTGACAGATGGTCAGAACTTCATCTGGTTCGAATCCTACTGAGAGGTTTACTAGAGATCAGAAATTGTTAAAGAAACAACAAAATCTTACTTTTGTCCCTTCCAGGCGATCGGAAAATAAAGAAATGGTTAATATATTCAAGCTTATAGTTGATGTACACTTAAAAAAAAAAATCTGCACTACCTTTTTCTCTAACGATACAAAACATTATAATACTCACCCAACTCTTGCACTGAATTATTTAATCGAATAATTTTTAATTAATTATTTATACTAAATATAATTAAGTGGAGGGTTTTACTTTCTTATTTATTACATAATTAGCCAATCATTTCCCGTATATTAATGCCACCATTTGGTATCATTGCATGGCTAGGATCGGTTGCAGTGTAATAAACTCGGATGAATATCGAAATAAGCTTGCGGATTAAATTTATCAAACTCTTGAAAAAGGGTTATGAATCGACCGATACCACGAATCATGGACATGACTCTTATTTATATTCACGGGCGGGCACCTGACATTTCCCGACTGGTTCTCACTTTGCCCATTGATACTCTCATATTATATTATATATATATGTACTCCCTCTGTCCCAATATACATGTCCTGCAGGGAGAATCTAACTTTTTATGGTAGTGGAGTTTTAATAGTTTTTTATTGTGATAAGAGTGAAGTTTCAAATATACTCTTACTAAAAGGCAAAATAGTGCTATGTTATTAGTGCAATTGTTTAGTTAAAAGGATAATTTGGAAATGTTATAAAAAATAGTACATTCAATTTTAGAATAGGACATATTTTTTGGGACATCTCAAAATAGAAAGATGTACAACTATTTTGAGATGGAGGAAGTATATATATATATATATATATATATATATATATATATATATATTATGTGTACATATATTTGCATGCAAGGCATATATTGCATATTTCTGTGTCTGAAATTTATTCGATTGGGAAAGAATGGATTCGGAGTTTAGTGGAGTTTTGTTAAAAGAAAATCTTTATCTCAAGATATTAAGAACTAGGGGATTAGATTTGGGTGTCAGAAGAGAGGCTTTTGATTAGATTTTGAAGGTGGGTTGATTAGTTTTTATTTCTTGGGTTACAAAATTTTTTACATTTTTTTTTTATTACATTGGATTAGGTTTCTGCAAGTGGGTTTTATTTTTTTTAAAATTTAATGGAGTTTTGTAGAATCTCTGTATATCAATTCAGTTGTTCGGTGCTGTTTGCTTGTGAGCTTAAATGACGAAAAATTTGGGAGGCTATAGATTATTATTTTTATTATTATTTTTAAATCATTTTTTTTACCCTCTCCGGTTTCTCTTGGCAAACAAACAAGATGTGATTGTATAAAGGTCCTAAAGCTAAAATTACAGAAGGGCTGTTTAGGAATTTTCTTTTTTCTTTTTCTTTTTTTTTTTTTTTTTTTTTATCACTTTAATCTGGCAAACCTTGGGAGTATCTTAGCATTTTACCCTAAAATTTAAAAATTAATTATAAAGTATTTTTAGTTCATATTTCGTTTTTGCTCGAGACTCTCACGGAGTGTAAAGAGAGTTAAATGTACGTGCAATTTAGCTCCACGTACAAAGAAGTTGTTTTCATTTCAGGCAAAACAATTTGACGTATACTTTGTGGAATAGGGGCTGAGTAGCTCACTATTTTAGTTATTAGAGTCGCGGTGAGATTTAATACATTAGGGTTACGGTAAGATTTGATACACAAGACCTTGTTAATATCAAGTTAACAACCATCTATTCCAAATTCTAAAACTATTAGAGATGGTATAACTTTAATATTTAAATACTTTAACCATATTTATTGGCTATATAAATTCCATGGTTGTTCCAGCCTCTTATTTTCTTCACACTTTCTAACATTGAAGATTTAAGGATCAGGAAAATGCCGCACGTGGATGAAAGAGTTGGAGCATAAGTAAAACAATAATGAGATTTGAAATGTTCATGTGGTTCTTTAAGTGATGAAAGATCAATTCTTTGTTTTCTATGTGGCAGCCATGTCTGAACC